ACAAAGCAATCACGAAACGCTAATGTTTTCTGACAAAGTAAAAATTAAACTTGGTTCCGAATTACGGGACGGTGTGGAAGAAAAATTTCCCCTTCCACGGCCAGCTCAAGCGATTACGTACCTAAGGCCCGGTTCAGACGCCGAACTTTTCATGAGCTGGACCTAATTTGAATTAAGGTCGATCCAAATTATTTAGACCGGCTGAATTGATTCAGACACCGATCTTAATTGCAGCTGAACTAAGTTCAAAGGGCAAAAAAGGCTCATTTGGGTCAAACTGCTTACAAAATACGCTATAATAATTTATGCATTATGTTCTCTACATGAAAAATTCGGCGCCTGAATCAAAGCCGTTCCAAAGTCGCTCCAAAGGCGAAATTCCCAGCAGGGCTGGGCGAAGAGAACGGCTGAGGCGTTCCAAATTCAATCAGGCGTTCCTAATTGATTCAGACGCTGAACTTTTCATGTGCTTAATTCAATGTATTAGGTTCAACTCATGAAAAGTTCGGGGTCTGAACGGGGCCTAATTCTCTCTTGGGCGTAGTCAATCGAACGTTCGGTAGTCGCACCCAATCGAGCTCCAATCGTTCGATTGACTTCGATTGGGTTCTATAATCGAATATAGTGGAATCGAACTCACCCAGAACTTTTGCGCATCGAACATAAATCAATCGTACATAAAACTAGCCTGCGTCGCAGACACTCTAAGCCTGTTGTAGCGGAGTGTCAGACGGACTATACTGTCTATTTTAAAAATGGTACAGACTATGCGTGGGCCGGGCGGGCTGCAACGCAGGCTAACATAAGACTCCAGGAGGGGGTAGGTGTGGGTGGTTACTTGAGTAAGTTTTTGCTGGGTGTGTGCCGCTAGTCTCTCACAACCCCTATTCCATTATAGCCAATTCTGTGGTCAATTAAAGACCCCATATTAGTCACTTTTGGGTAAATGTAATTTTCGTGATCCCAATTTAGCCACTTCGTTCTGTCAAGAGTAAGAGGATAAAACTCTGTATCCTCTCTTGGTTCGGCTTATGAATCTACCTTATAAAGCCTTTTATCAAGGTCATCCTGAAATTAATTGGCACATTTTTGTTACACTTAATGCAGTAAAAATCCTCACGATTTGAAATCCTTAATTATCGAAATATTCTTACACTCCAAATCCCGAAAATGTGCGACCCCATTCTAACAACTTAACTCAATTGAAATCCCTTTATAGTCAATCCAGTCGTAAAAATGAGACCCTATCCAACAGCATTAGCCCATTATTAGTAATTACACCCTCGGGCATAAAACAAGTTTCATCTCGTTTCCAACAAAGTGTTGCGGTTAACAAAACAAAGAAGTTACGTGTTAGCTTCAATTTAAAACACGATCCCTATATGTTTTCAAGCGAGCTGTCGGGGTGGCCAAAAGTCTCTGTGATGATGACTGCAACGTACGTCATGATTGTGTCTTACACTGACGACAGTCGGAAATGTAATCAGGTGCTGTTCTCATTAAGGGATTTAAAAACTAGCAGAAGAACTTTACACGTTGTACGGTACCGAACCGGTAACTAGTGTAGCTCTATCAACACAGGGGTAATGTGATCGAATTTTTTCTGGTGCGCGTTGAATCTCGAGCCACTGAATACTGAACTGATTGCAACTTGAAAAGTAGCTGCCGCGGAAGTCCATATACAAAGAGCATTACAGTTATCTTATTTAGACCTGACGAAAGCGAATACCACACATTTAGCACTATCCTCGGTGAGGTACTTTCTAATTCATTGGCGGTGTTCCTGAGGTGATGATGCGCAGACTTGCAAATGGATTTTAATTTTTTTTAAAGTTTAAACACTGATCGAAAAACGACACCAAGTTCATAACGAGTTGAAAATTTCTGGACAACAGTCGTCAGGTGAATCATATCGCCAACTCGAAGGAACTCCAAGCCGGGATCTTGGACGATATTCTCTTCTTCAGGTAAAGGCTGAAGGCTTTTGTCAGCAGTTCTTTTCTCTTTGTAAACGCTTTCTTTGCTCGGGCTATTCTCGATCTAATTTCTTTCCAACAGGATCAGTTTTGTGTAATAAGGCTCCCAAGGAATTTAAAGAGCGATTCTTGACTTCATCAGTTTACCCTCAAGAAAGATCGTGAATTCCTCACCAGGCCTCCTACTGATTTTCATCACCTAAGTTTTCTTAACGTTAATCTTCATACCACATTCTCTCGCGGTGTTCTGCATTTTATCCATCATAAGTTGCAGACCTTTAAATGAACCGGCTAAGGTTGCTTGATCATCCGCAAAGCGAACTGTCTTAATGCAAAAGAGAATTAGATGGCCTCCCACTCGAATACCTTCATTCACACCGCTTAACGTATCTCTTAACATGGCTTCACTATATATGTTAAAGAGTATGAGGGATAATGTGCAACCTTGTCTGTGCCGCGGCCAATCACTGCTGGGTTTGATAAGCCATCTTTCAGCCTGACTCTCGCTTTGCCCCATGTAAAGCCTCTCAATCAGCCTTCGGTCCTGCCAGTCAACTCCTATGAATTTTTGCGTCGTTTCTCGTGCTAGGTCCTTGGTCCGGCCACAGGACGATAAGTAAACCAGCCAAATAGTGATTGAAAAGAGAGGGCCTTAGAAAGTTCAGTTTCCGTTTCGTTTATTTCTTAGTAAAGGATTCATTTAGCTCTTTTACATAGAAATCTCATTTTGGTTTTGAAGTTAAAATGATGCCTATAGAAATTATACGGGAATTTAGACCAGGCCCCAGTTGTTCAAAAGTTGGATAGCGCTATCCAAAGGATAAATCACTATCCCACGGATAAGTCAGTGTTAGGGAAACCAATTGCGCTATCCACTGGATAGTGATTTATCCAATGGATAGCGTTATCCACCTTTTGAAAAACTGGGGCCAGTTGGTGCTTGGAACGTTTCTTTTTGTGTACAGTTTGCATGCGGGCTTACAAAGTGGCCGAAATGGCCAGCCCAGGGAACCAATGGCCGGACCAGGGGCCTTCGAACGGAGCGGTCATTTTCTATGATGCAGGATTTTCGGCAAAGCTCAGAAGCTGTCGGTTTGTCACAAGTTAGTAAAATGTAACGGCAACTTACAGGACAAACTTTTCAGCTCACTAATTCTCTTCTACGATAAGAAATACTCATTTACGCCTTTTTTGTCCGGACCAAGAACTACATAATAGAGAGATTAAGGTTCACGTTTACGCCAAACGACAAACGTAGCCCCTCCACGTATAAGCCCCTTCAAATATAAGCTCGCCAAACTTGTAACGCAAAAAACCCTCCGTTAAATCGCCCCTCCAAACATAAGCCCCCTGGGGGCTTGTACTTGGAAATTGCCCTCAAATACAAAGTCAAACAAAGCAAAAAAGGTAAATTCCCTTCCAACTATAAGGCTAGCACAATTGATTTTGAAACGCAAATTTCCCTCCTTAGATAAGCCCCTCCGAATATAAGCCCCTCCAAAAATAAGCCCTTCAAAAAGGGCCTTTGAAAAATATAAGCCCCGGGGCTTATTTTCGGAATTTTACGGTACTTGTTTTTTAGTTGAAGTAATAAACAGTTAACGACAATTAAAGGAAAAACTTGGTCACGTGGTACACATTCACGTTTGCCGTTTGGCGTAAACGTGAATCTTAATCTCTCTGCTGTAAGTGGTTTCCGCATGAGCTCTTGAAGACCCCCTCGTCATTTCATTTTACATATATATATATATATATATATATGTAAAATGAAATGACGAAATTCAAATTGATCATCAACTAAAAAGTGCTCAATGGGTTTACCAGAGCTTTGAATAGATACGTAGACTTGAACTAGGTCAAAAACATTTACTTGCTACTCAGAGTTTCATGCTTCATGAAAAGCAATCATTAGAGTGATTTTGAAAAACGGAATCGCTACCGTTTTTTTCAAAATCACTCTAAATCTCTATAAACCACCATGTATTGTTTCTTTTCGGAAGTTGCCTGATGATTGCTTTTCATGAAGCATGAAACTCTGAGTAGCAAGTAAATGTTTTTGACCTAGTTCAAGTCTACGTATCTATATATACATATATACACAATGCATCTGTTACCTAGATACTATCTCTTAACGCATCCCTATTTTTACTGCCAGCTTTTAATTTTAACGGTCAATCGTTGAAGAATACAAGTATTTATATATACATATATATATAATAATAATAATAATAATAATAATAATCAATAATGAAAATAATAATTAGTAAATAATTTAAGTTAGTTATTATTATTATCATTAGAAAGAAAAATTTAAGCACATATCCATTAAAATCCCCTTTTTCCTGCCTTTATGCATCTGCCATCCAAATAAAGATATATTTATAGACATTTTCTGAACTCATGCAGTCGTTGGTTAAAGTAAGTGTTTTTATGAACTGTGTTGTCGTTACTGAACTATATTGTCTTTATTGAACTATAAAAATAAGACAAACTGAGGGAGAATTTGAGCATATTAACAAAAAACTACGCGTGAACATTTAAGACATTTATTGACTTTTATTTAACGATTCCTACAAATGTTAAGATCGTATCTTTACCCCATACAAACATTGTAATTTTACAGGATTCGTACTGTGCTACTACCACAGAGCCTGGGTTACCTGTGACATTACTTCAAAAAAACGAAAACATAGTCTGCGTAGCAGACGTAATTTAACCCCAGTTAGTAACGTTTGCGAAGTCGCGCCGAGATCCTTATTCTGGGCCCCCAGCGGACTCAACGAATTACCGGAAATGCGTTTCGAATTTCCTTTCAATCTGATTGGCAAATCGATAATGGATTTTAACTGGCCAATCATGGCGCGTATTCCTGGTACACAGGTAGGGGTTTAGAACAAGGATTTCGGCGCTGTTTCGCAGACCGACTTAATCAGACTTTAGTTTCGTCTGTGGTGCAAGCTAGTGAAAACAAGGCATTGAATAAAATCAAGTAAAAACATTAGTCTTCTCCTTTTCCCCATTTTTGCTGAAAAGTTTTGATGGCAGAGTCCCCATTTCTAGTACAGTGGTCTCCCTGGACAGTCGGGCTACTTGGGTTTGAAGCAGAGCCGCATCCGGGTTATCAACACGCATAGAATAGCAGATCCTCTCAAAGGTTTTACGAAATTCTGAGATCCTCACGGAGTAAATAAAAACATTTGCGCACGAGTTCCCATACTGGAGAAGCTTGGCGCAGTAAATGAGGTTAGGACTCAACGAAAAAGGATGAAATCTGTTCACGACGTTTAAAATCGTAAAAGGAAGCCATGCAGATAAAGAAATCAGCATTACTATTAGCAAAGTAATTGTGAGTTGTCTTTCTTGGTAAGCGGCATTACGATAGTGAGAAAACAGTTTTCTCTTACCCACCTGAATCCAGATAACCACATTCGAGACAAATATTACAATGCAACAAATTGTGAGGATAATAATGGAACTGTAGAAAAGTATTCTGACTGAAGGTAAAAAGTGACGCATTATCATTCTAGCTGTGGTAGTCACAAAAGCAACAAACCACACGAAGGAAATTCCAGCTATGTAGGTTTTTGTTGTTAGGATCCTATGACGGAAAGGCCATAAAGTCGCAAATAATCTTTCTGTAGATACCAAAGTAAGGGATAAAATTGACCCAAGTCCAGAAATAACGTCTATTGCTACGTAAATTTCTACCGCTGGCTCAAAGTTTGCAGACCACAGGTGTCCCTGTCCACCAATTAAGTAAACCAGCATTGGTATAGCGCATGCGCCAACGAGAATGTCCGCTGACGCTAGGTTTATTAATAGATATGAACTGCGTCTGTAAAGCTGGCCAGTTTCAGCGAATTTAAAAATGGAGAAGAGATTTCCAGCAACTATTGCTAACGCCTCTGCTATAAAAAGGATGCTCCAGACAATCGCTTCACCCCTTGTAAACATGGCTAGTTTCTTCCTGTTAAAACTGAGAGAATTAAAGAAATAAGAGAGTTCGTGCAATTATGCACCGCTTTTCTTTTAAGTAATAGACCGGGAGCTTATTTGAAACTTCAGTCAAAAGGAAGGGTGCAACAGAACTCTTTTTGAGTTTTTTTTTAAAGAACCCTTACATTTATTAAAATTTCAAAAAAGTGGACAGAAAAAAGGGTTATTTACACATACCGCACTTGGTAAATGCTCCAATTAAGAAATAAGTTAATACTTCAAATAAGCTCACCTCAATCCTAAGAAAGAGTTAGAATAGAAGAACTTTGATACCAGAACTTAGAGGATCATAGAGAAACAGGCCTTTGAAAGCATTCACAAACGGACTTGTGTTTCTTTTTAGTTTTTAGCTCGGGTGGGGGAGAGGGGGGGGGGGGGGGAGACTAACACATATAAGGCTGGGAACAGGAATGCTAGTAGGTTGGTGTACGGCTGGAAACTGCAGATTTTGGTCTCACCTAGTTTTCAGGGCGGAACGTCAACGTTCAGTTACTCATATAGGTAACGCCTATGGCTGCGCGTGAGATTAAACAGAAAGCAGAATGAAGAAAAGAAAAAGGCATTCTCGCTTGCAAATATCAAAGGTATTCAGTTTGGCTGTCTTTTGTAGAGTGTAGCCTTAGTTAGAGGCCAAATTAAGATTTAGCCACGCCTAGAATGGTCTCCTTCACGATAAATAAATTTACAAGTATAGCTGATTGTGAAGCTAGGAGATTATTTTTATCCTTCAATTCGGCGACAAAAATCCTCGTCGGTGAGGAAGGAGGGTGGTAGTAGCTTTGTCACGGGACTTATCTCCTCGATTTATGAAAAATATTATAAGCTAATGGAAGTCCTATATATCTTCTCAATGGTTTTTAGAGTGAAGCCTATATTTAACCCGATTTAGCTAAATGTATCCTCTACGGAATAAGTGAAACATCATACTAATAAACAACATTTATAATATAAACAGGTGAAGAATGAAAAGTGATCTTGATTGATTGCTGACAAATTTTATCTGATCAAGTTGAAATGAATATTGACATATATCGTTGTAGGAAGCTTTTTAGGTTCTGGAACATTTTAATTGTTCATTATAAGTATGAAATAAGATATAAAACACATTTGCTAATGAACTCTTTATTTAGAAGAATAAATATTAAAAAGTGTGCTTCCCTGCATCACGCACGGAATCAGAACATGTACGTCATTCTTTAGTTGGTTACTAACCAAGGGTAACTCCCATCTATACCCCCATGTACCTTTAAATCATTCTTTCTGCATTCCATGACTTTAGGACTGTAACTAAGTTAAGACTTTCTCATTTCGTGTGTTCGTGAGTAAATAAGGTTTTGAAAATGGGACATCATGTCCTGACTTGATGTCCCTTGGAAAATACTTATCTTTTAATGGACACTTTTAGTAATTTACGAACGAAACTTGAGATTTAAGGCTAGTGTTTGTTGACAAAATTTTCCGTTTTTAGGGATTGATTAATTAAAGGTAGGAAGTTTTGTCCCATCTATTTATCTTGTTTCCACATTTATGAATATGGGAGTTGTCCTTTGTTTACCATTAACGAAGTTTGTATCTTTGAGTTTTACCTTTAAAAGGTCCAAACAACTTTAAAGTAACTGCACAAAAGTGTGTTTCTTTTACTGAACTTTACTTAGTTAGTTTTCCTTAGTAGTTATCCTGCTCCAGAACTGAAGAAAAGCTTTCAAAGAAATTTTAGGTTATCAATTAATCGTATGCCAATTAGAACGTAAGTATGTCTTACGCCGGGTGATTATTATTAACGTAAACATATCATGGACAACCAAACAAATAAATAGAGAGCTGTTGAAAAGTAAGCTTTTAGAAGAAGGAGTAAGAAGTTATAGAAAAAGAGGAAGAAAGAGAACTACCAAGAAGAAGGTTAACTTGAGGAAGGACTTTGCTAAAGTTGAAGAATTGTGAAGTGAAAGAGTAAGTCACCCAGAACTAAAGTATATAACATAGTACTTATTTGGTTATGAGGGTCACTGACGCGCCTCTGGAGTGACCCCCGTATCAGCTTATTCGAGAGGGCAGAGGTGGGGGGTTATTTTGGAGAGTGACGCTTAATCAAGGAAATACGTTAGTGAACATGTATATATATGCAAAGTTGATCCTACTACGTAAAAAGTAACTTTGCAAGACATAAAGAGGACACCGACAGAACCCAAACAGTGCGGGGTTGTTGTAGTTGACAACTGTTTCGTCATTATTGTCTTTCATCAGAACGGCGTAACAAACAGAGAAGCTCTGCTGAGAAAATGCCAGCCCACTCTAACCATAGCCTGAAATTCATCCGATTGTTTCGAGTCGTTTTCTCCTCTCAACAACGTCTGAATCGACCGGCCGTTAATGCCGTCCAGTGACGTCACTCACTACCCGAAAACCGGGTAGTGATTTTGATTGGTTGATTGTCTAAACATTCGCATAATTATGTATAATCATGAAAAATTTTAGTGGGATTGTCGCTTAATATTCAGCGGATCGCATCCCTGGCATCCTTTCGTTTAGTTCAAACATTTCGATAAGCTTAATCTTTATCTTAAACAGCAAAATTGCCCTTCTTGTCTTCGAAACAGAAATGCTAAATTGAACTGCGAATGAAGAATCATTGCGGAGAGTCGGTAGGTTTTTCATTTAGAGCCGCTTTGTGGTTTCGGCGGCCGGTGATTTTGTTTACGTATGCCTGCCCATATGTAGCAATATTTAATCCCTGTTGATTCATATTTGATTTGGACATGACTTCTTTTAAATTTAAACCCTTTATCTAATACTTATTTTAAATTCTGAAGAGTTTTATGAACTTTGAAATTCTACGAAACTTATGGAACCATTTAATCTTCGATTAAATTAGTGGTTAAAATTTTGACATTGTTTAATTCATTTCTATCCATTTAAATTTAAACTTGAATTCTATTTAAATTTACTGAAAATGTTCAAACTGCTCAATTTAACTTAGAATCCTTTAAATTCAGTATACTTCGTTCAATTTACGTATTACTACTTACCACTCTAAATTATGTTTAAACTCAAGCAAGTAAAATTCATTTAATCTTCCTGGGGCGAGCTGGCCGGGATCACCTGCCCAGTCAAATGGCAAGGGTCACATGTCGTATCCTCGGCTGCAATTCTTTACCTGCGGCAGAAAGTGGACGAACAAAAGAGAGTGAGCGAATTACTAAGCTGAAGCCGTCACAGTTTCCTGCCTTCCAGCACCTCTTCTAATGTGCTGCTTCAAATTCCAATTTCGTCCAGCTTGCGATAATAAAAACATCGACCAGTTTGAAAACCAGTTAGCTTTAATTTGCACTTTATTCTTCTGATTGGTATTCTTCGTTTTAACAAGAAACTCTTCTTCATTAATTAAGCCCCCGCGAAAGAAATTGGCATGCGAGTTTCCGCGCGCAATTTCACCATCCTCTGTTTTGTCCGATCTTAAACTGCAAATTTCGCGCCTTCTTACCGTCATACAGCCGCCTGTAAGCATCCAAACCGTCCCAGTAGTGGCAGAGAGCTATCTTAAATTTAATCTTCAGAGACCGGTGGATGAACTCATAGATTGTTCCTTCATAGTCCCTAATTTCCGTAAGATCGTCGAGATCAGCGCTATGTGTTGTCATCTTGGTTGTGAGTGCCAAAACTACCTAGGAGGGCGGAGGAAGGTTTGGGAGGAAGGAGAAAATAGAGACTGTAATAACATCACTGCAGCTCCGCCTTCAGGAGGCATGACAGGAATTTCCAGGCTACGCACTTTTACCATTCATTCATTAAGAAACTCTGCTGGCAATGAAAAAACATGCCAGACAATATTTAGCATTGATTTCTGTTTACATAAATATCTGCTTTCCAAACAGTGATTTTATACAGTTTCTGGGACATACCACAGATTAAAACGGTCAAACCTCCCGATAAAAAAGCCAAGCATTTCTGACAGGTACTCTTTCTTGTGTCGGCGTAGCAGTTGTTAAATTTCAATTCTGTTTAGGAGAAACGGTGTTGGCAAAATATTCCCTAGCCCTGAGCTGCTAAGCTTCAAAAGCATGTTGGCTTACGTGATTCATCCAAAAATGCCTAAATTCCTTCGTGTGTTTGCGCAAGATGTGTGCCTTATGCTATTATGAAAGTGTACGTTTATAGAAACGACGACTTGTCAAAGCCTTGTCAAATGGTCGGCAACTTAAACTAAACCCGTTGTCACTTGGACGCAAATTAACATCTATTGTCTAATTACCAATCAAACGCCTGCGTTACTGGCACAACGCACCCGTGAATCGCGAGCTGCAGTGATGTTATTACAGGCCCTCATTTTTCTCGCCCTCTCCCTTGTAGAGCTACACGGCCACGCATGATATCCGATGTCCGCCCCTCGGTCATTTGAAAATCAAGATGGCCGCCATTAACAGTAAGACACGCTATATCACAACCGCTATCTCACGGAAAAATAGGGGCTATGAACAGTTCATATTTCGCTCGGCTGTCCCCTAGGAGCACGCCTGAGAGTTTCGTTGCTGATTGTCGCCTACGGTATCGCAGCTGGACAAGTGGAATTTGAAGCAGCCCCTAGAAAAGGTGCTGAAGGCAGAAGCCTCGACGCTTTGCTTAGTAATTCGCTCACTCTCCCTCCTTTCGTTCCTTCGTCCACACTTTCTACTGCAGATAAAAATTGCAGCCGAGTGGGATACGACATGTGACCTGCCATTTGACCTGAGCAGGTGATCCTGGGCTCGAGCTCGCCCCAGGAAGATTCTTGAATTTTACTTTCACAGTTTAAATATAAATTATATTGGTAAGTTTAAAGAAATTTGTTAACGATTCAATGTAAAGGATTGCTAGAATTCAGCAGTTTAAAAAGACATTTTTCAGTAAATTTTAAATGGGAATTCCAAAGTTTAAATTTAAATGGATAGAATGAATTAAACGAAAATCGTCAAAGTTTAAACCATAATTTAATCGAAGATTAAATGGATTTCCGCAAGAAGTTTAAATGAAATTTCCAAAGGATTAAATAAACTCTTCAAATTTAAATAAATTTTAGATGCAAGGTTTAAATTTAAAAGAAATCATGTCCAAATCAAATATGAATCAACAGGGATTAAATATTGCTACATATGGGCAGGCATATTTACGCGACACTCTAACCAAACATTGGACCGTAAAACATGAAAGTAGATCTACCCCACTCCCCTCCCCCCAAAAGAACTGATACAAAGTAACGCACATAAAATCACAGCCCTCAGACAGCCAAAGAGGCTAATTCAGTCCAGGTGAGTTCCAAACTAGTGGTAAAACTGAGCGGAACTAATTATATAACCCAACTTAACAAGCTATGACGAAATGGTCGCCTTTGTTGCCGTGATTAACGACACACCGCCATTTTTGCCTGATTTGTCCCTAGTACTAGGATCTTCCTAGCGAAAGCAGTTTACACGGTGTCAGGATCTTCCTACCTCTCGCTAGGGACAAGCACATCCCTTTGCATGTAAACTGAATGCAGAAAATATATGGCTGCAGGATGATCCACTTTCTAGGATATTTCTCCCTTCATGTAAACAGGCCCTACTGAGGAGCGGCACGAGCTAACTGATTATTTTCTGAGCAGAACGTTAGATGATTCGGCCTTCATGTTTAAGCCTTTGTGAATCATTTGCCGGACAATGTTGTTACAGATGTTGTCTCAAAAATCATATTAGATCCTTACAATCCTTGCAAGAAAAACAGTAAGAGACTTTAATTAATCTAAAAAACTACGGGGTATTTTCTTGGAATGAAAAAGCAATTTTGGCTCACAACAAGAAATGATTTAAACTTGAAAAAGTCATGTAAAACTGGCTTCATTCTACTCGAAGTTTTAATATTTTTAACGGATGAACTTAATAAAGAAAAACTTCTTCCTTCCAACGAGGTACAAGTAGTTACTTGATTTTAAATGACTGACTAACTTTGTTTGTAAGTTCAAGATTGAAAAAAAAAAAGCTAGTCCAAATCAATTCATGTCAGTTAAGTTCTTGTTTAGCGAAAGGCAAAAAATAACACAATTGCGGGCAATAAAGATCAATTCTCACATAAAAAAAGAGAAAAATGTAACTTATATCCCTTGTTCGCTACTCTTAAAATCAACTATATATATACCCGAAAATCTTGATTGACTTGTAAGATTTGTATATATTTTGTTAAGGAGATAAATATTCACCTATTTTCCTTAACGGGGACATTGTTAGATTAGGTGTTCAGATAGTTTACCTACCTATACTTTTCTTGATTCTGTTATAAGGAAAGGTCTATTAAGCAGTCCAACAGAAAAGAAACGAAACTTACCTGCAAAGAAAGAATTAAAATGCAAATTTCATGACAAACCGCTTCAGGCTGAACGACTTCAAAGAACTGATTCGACCAGCTTGTCAGTCAATGTGGTATAAACAATGAACAGTTGTCTCAGAGGTAAGTAGAAAGACCAATTTAGAGTTCTGTGCAGCCAATGATCTCTTCAGGGTAATGGGGTGAGTTTTTGAGTGATGTTTGAATGAAGTATATTCCTCAAAATTCAACAAATTCAAATGTCTTCCTTTTATTTGTTCATAACAATAGATAAGAAACTCACAAATTTAAATATGAAAACTTGCCAGTTTGAAGTCGCCCACAAAAAAAAAGGTTTCTCACGAAACTCATAAAAAATTAAGATTCTTACACAGTTTATTTGCTCGAGCTTTGATTGTACTACTGTTGTGTAGGATGGGTATTTGCTAAATAGACCGCTTACATCAAATATAACCGGACCAACGATAACGATAAGTTTATATCAAAATTACTGTAAAACATTTCTCTAGTAATATATAACTGCGTTGTTTTTTTAGGCATTCAAATTTACAAACGATTTATTAACGCAGAATTTTTAAAAGCAATCGTAGCTTGCTCTTCACTGGTCATTGAAATCGCTGTTTATTAAAAAAGGCAAACTGTTTGGAAATATTCCATTCAGTATTTAACTCCATGTCTAATGTTCGTTGATTTACAGTTAAATCTAACTTTCTTGGCCTTAACGAACCATAAGACTTGACAAGCAGGAAAATATTTACTCATTTATAGAAGACATTTTTTCAGTGCTTACTTAAAGGGATAGCAGAAATATTTTTCAGCAAGAAAACGAATTTCGCGTCGATGAAGAGTTAACAGTAAAAGCGATAGTTGAACCTCACCAGTCAGTTTAATAAAAACCTTTGGCATTTCTGTGTATTTTTTGGTAATATTGATTGAAACATTTTCTATGTGTTTTTAACGATAGGTTCCTGAAGGCTTTGATAAAAAAAGATAAATATCCAAATGCAAAGCCGTTGCGAAGAAAAAAACATCTGTATGTTCTGCAAAATTCTGGGACAAACAAGTATCATATTTACCTACCAATTTTTTACTTGACCAGTGAATAAGGGATAATAAGGCGGTTAGGCTCCTTTGCCAAATGGACAAAGTATATGAGAACGCTAAATGAATTAAATATGCATGGTAAATTCGTTTGTAGAAAACCTGCGAAAAGCCACGGGACTCCAAAAAGCTCAACTGAACAAGCGTGGGCATATGGTGAATTAATGATTACCTAAGAGATTATCAAGACATTATAGTAGCCACTGAAAGATCCATAAAAAGAAAGTTCTTTGATTGATATTAAAATCACTTGTTTTACAGCTGCAATCTTCCTTGAAATAACTTCTACCATCATTGGCTGATTAGTTATCACGTGGTCTTAAGTAAATAAATTCCCTCACGGGTTATTGTCAGATTTTGAAAGACTTGAACTGTGTACAGTGTATGGGTCACTGGAAGTTAAAAAACGCCATAAATGAGAGAACGAATATATATAGACTTCGTTTTACTGGAGAAAGAGGTTTGATTATTCAGGACACAGGACGAATAATATTGCTGATAAAAATTGTGAAGAAAAAGTCGAGTATCGTCCTGTAAAAGTAACTTTTTCTAAATTACTTTTTTGGTCGCTACTTTCGGGGCCTTGGAAAAGAAAGTGAAATTTCTCAGTCTGTGTGCAGTTTTCATCCTGGAAACCAATTTATCTTTTTTTTGGTTTATTTGTAATTATGTTAAGTCCTGAATGTTCGGGGAAAAGTGAGAAAACATCGGAACATTTTCACCAACAAAACTGCCCTCGGTAACAGAAAGTGGCTCTAATATATGTAATCTATACTCATTTTGGTTCCCTTGCCACTGGAAAAGTAGCGCAAGAAAAATAAAGATAAATAAATAATAATAATAATAGTTATAAAAATAATACGATTAAGACTTTAAAAAGACTAAAAGACTAACTAAAGGCAAAAAGATTAAGACATGTTTCATGTCTACTTTTAATACCATTCCTGAATTTGAATATGAGCACTTGTCAGCTTTAATTTTCCACCACTTTTTCAAGAGTTTGTCTTGAAACTCATGAAACACATTATTAAGGCTTAGAAAGGCTATTTACTAGCCCTACCACATTAATTAATTGGATAATATCTTAAGCTATTTCACGATAATAAAAGGTTTTACCTACTTTGGGGAAAAATAGAAAATTATAACATGAGTGTTAAATACCCATTTACACATTATTTGCTCTTACGGTTTACGGGATATAGAATTGGTATTTTTTCAAGAAAGAAGATTTTAGATTTATAATTTTGGCTAACATTTGAAGTCTATTTCGATTGGTCAAGCAAGAAAAGGAACCAAATGAAGTAATGAAAAGATAAAAAAGTTTGGCTTTTTCATGACGTCGTGAAAGGGAAAGGTTTGTTCTAAGATTTGTATCAGTCCAATTAACTTTTATAAATCTGTAAAGGTCTTGAATTTAAGTGTTTTCTAATGCTCACAACAATAACTATACTGTACAAAATTAAACTACCTAAAATCCAGCTTTTTTGCGTAAACAAACAACTGAACTTAAATTTGATGAGGCAATTCTTATTTGCTCATGTAAGCGAAACAAAATCCCGAAATTTAACTGCTGAAAAACCAGTGCAATTTTTTTGGGAATTTTGAAAGTTTCACTGTTTTGTTTTTACTCAAAAAAGCGTCCGGGCGCTTATTTCATTCCAGCTGGCGACACCTCAATGCGGGCTCGTATTAAAAAAAAAAGATCACGGGGCATATTCCTGTCCTGCATGAAAATGGAGAAATAATATTTAGTACTTCGGCAGCTGATAATGTCCTGTTGAGATACTCCAGTTTGTTCATTTGTTATTTCTCCAGTTTAAAGCCATTCTTGTTATTTGTTTACCTTTTTCTACGCAACATGAATTCAAAATTTCGACTGAGATGTCACTAATGCTCAATCATGCCAAGTTGAACACCCGAGCGACACCAGCGAAAGTAGGTAAAAAATGCAAACCTTTCCGAAAAGAAATAACAAACCTGATGGAAAAAATCTTTCCTGGGTGCTGATTACTCACCTAAGAGGAGACAATCTTCCCCTCTGTTGACGCAAAACTATTGAATACAAGTTAATATGGTTCTTCTAATTTTAAAACCCTCTTTTTTGTGTGGATGCTGTTTGTGAGGCCAATCGTGGAAAATTGGTCAAATTTTTTTGTGGCAAACTATTTGCAAGTAAAATGAGTTCATGAAGCGTCATTGTAAGCTCAGTGACAAGAACGGGAAAGTTTTAAGTTCTTTAGCAAGCCATTAATCTACGCTTTCTAGAAAAACAGGAATCAAGCAGTAAAATAAAAAGGGCTTCTGGCTGCGATTACAGGTCCGGATTTGTTTTTTTGTTTTTAAAAGAACGTAATTTGTTTTCATTCTGTTGTTATTGTTCGATTCGTGACTTAATAAATGCAAGCGTAACTTTCTTTTATGTCTTATTGCAGCATCAACGAGAAGCTCCAAGGAAAAAGCTGCTAGCATATAACTTAGAGGAAGACTGCGTTTCCGAGCCTTCTTCACGGTCAAGGCTTCGATCTCTTTTGTAAGTTTTGAATTATTTCTTATATTGAAGCATTGTTGATCATTCTAAACTTTTTGATTATATTGTGTGCTCCTATAAACTTGTAAGTGATAAAGAGCGTAATGCTTAATATATAGTGATAGTAGCAAATCAGTATGGCGATCTATCTGTCTATCTATTGATATAAATAAGAAAGCACTTTTCGCGTTTTAAGCGGCACAATCAACTATCGACAGAAAAATTTGCATTGAAGATTTGGTACTTTCAGCATTAATCATCAACGACGGAACTTAGGCTAGATAAAAGGACTTACGTCGATCGGTTAAGAGGAGTCAGTTATCATGCACATATAATATAAGCCACTTATGTCGAGGAAAGCGAAATGTGAAATCGTTTGAAAATTTGCGCTAAACTCCTTTCTAGCTTATCCTTTTCTTAAGCGTAGTCATCTCCAGTGTTTTATGCATAGTCACCGAGCTGAGAAAAGCAATGATAGGCATTTTAATAAAGCGAGTATTCTCATCACTTTGATCAAGTTCAGAAAACATATTACAATTGTTTCAGAGAACGCCTTGGAACTTTTCTCATATTAAGGTAGTTTGCTCGCATTTTACTTTGTACGTTAACAATGTTCGAGTAATGACGGATAAATACAAAAGCGGCGGCAGAATCAGTACAAAATCCTCAACAAAGCAGCAGAATTAACATGATACTTCTATAATGCCATTTACGCCAATACAATTTGAGAGCTTTGAGTGCTGGATATTTTGCATTTAAGACTGCACAATTTTGTAGGTTTTGTAGGGTACAATGCGGTAAAATGTATGCATACTAAGCCGAAGCGAAAAGAGCAATCGACAAATTAAAATCAGTTAGGACTTTGGTTATCTGGATTTGTTCAAATTTAATTAAAATTTGCATAGCACGAAAACTGTTTTTCACTTAACTAGCAGCTATTTTAGTAGACTATCGTGTGGTCATTGCGATACTTGAAGTAACAGGTCCATTTCAGCAGCAGCGATGGTATGTAGGACGAATAGTTCGATCGACTCTGTCAGGACCTGTCAGAGCTGCGCACAGGACCGTACTCACGCCAATGATCAAACAATCCGGCCCCGAGAATAGACTTCAGTTCTATCTTAAGACAAATCTGCGGCTATCTTTTCAGTGATTGAACGATAATAGAAACAGTCTTTTCCTGAAACTTTATTTTATTAGTAGAACGGTAAAGAAAAAAGTTGTTTAAAATATTGTACAGTGCCTTTGGTTTGATTCGATCATTGTTTTAATTCGGTCGCCTATACATTATTGGCGGGCAGTCTTATGGATCGACTACAGGCCTGTCTCGAAACAAAACTTTTTTTCCCATTCTTCAGAGATCAGAAGTAATTTCAGGGTGTCTTTTAGTCAGTTTCCACCGTGCCGATTCGTTCAGTCCATGATATTTTATGGCAATCGGGCCATCTATGCGGAACAAGTCGACGTAACAATAGATTCGCATAAACAGCGTTCATAAACATCCTTCATGCGAGATACACAGGCAACCATTGTAGCTCGGTTAGTTGTGATATCTGTTTGATTTGTGACTTTAGCAAGTTTTTTTTCTTATAAGTACATACTAACACTGATATTTGACTATGAACAATGCCGTATAGCCATATCCAGACAGTGCAAGCTAGTTCAGTTATACGGCTACATTGTACTTAATAATAATAATTGGATTCATGTGGAAACCCTTACACCCCCCTCCCCCCCAGCCCCCACAAAAGTTAAGAAAGCTTAACAATATGCTCCTTCTGTCACTTAAAACCTCTTAAAAGAGATCAAGAATAAAGGCATCAGTTCCTATTTTAATTCCTCTACCCTGTTGTTTGAAAAACTACGCACAAAAAGAAATAAACGCAGACACACAAATATAAGAAAGAAATAAGAACTTTATTAAAAACATTATCCGATAAGAGATCACCATAGATGAAAGTTAATATGGATTTCAATAACTTCGATAAAATGTGTCTAAATTCTCTCTGATTAAAACTTGTAGCTTCATATGCCATATCACAGGGCTTTACCAGCCAAATGAAGCGAATTGTGACACACGCTTTCCTAAGCCCCTTTTTATCTTTGACAGAACAATTTGTAGTCGGAGCCGGGAAACAATCTAAACAAAACCCGACAGAGAGCAGAGAATGCAATCTACCAGCGTTCTTTTATCGCCTATCCGCTTCTTTGCATTGCAGAAACACACCTTGCCCGTGCCCACCACCTCCCCCCTACCCAAAAAAATTGCTTGAGAATTGTCTTCTATTTGCGACTTCGTGAAGGCGAAAAATGTTACTCGAAACGATTCGCAACGATGATTTTCACCGCATCACAGCGCTGTAACAATTTTGCGGCATTGTTTACAATTGTTTCACAATTGCTCTAACACTGTTGGCCTAAATTATTAATGCAAAATGCCTCTTGTAACAACGGCTTAATCCAGGAGAAAGTGGATGGTTATGAAAAGTTTGGGAGGCGAAGGGGGGAAGGGTTGGGGAGGAAAAAATCGGCAATTTTATTGGATAAGGGTGAGTATGATATGAAGAATTATAGAGATCGAGGAGGTTGTTATCCTCCTGGAGGCTCTGAGATATGCATAATTCTTCAGATAATGAAAAGCCGAATCCAATAATCTTAATAAGCAATGGTTTAGTTATACAGAAGCAAGTAAAAAAACAATGCGGACAAGAAAGAGCGACGTTTCGGTATCATCAAATATTTTGAACTTGAAAATGCAAGATTACACCAAAACGTCGCTCTTTCTTGTCCGCGTTGTTTTTTACTTGTTTCTGAATCCAATAATTGTTTTATTATTCATTCAAAATAATTCCAAGTTTATATTAAAAACAAGCTAAACTGAGATGCTTACCTTGGTCGATGTTAAATTTCCGTCTTCATTTGCCTGTTTCTCGGCAAGGAGTTCAGGATATAAAGCCTAGCAGAGTATTCTACAAATAGCACAAGTCATCAGTCCACGATTTGTATTCTTACTGTTCTTGCAATATTTTTAGGCAGAAGTTCGGTTATTTCTTCTTCGCGAACGGAAACGTGTGAAAAAACAACGAAATCTTGTTCCCAGGGTTTCTCGGCGATTATTTTGTGCTTTTGACGTCATTTTCCGGATATCTGATTGTTTCCCGCCTCCGATTTAAAGATTGCTTCTGTCGAGGATATGAAAAGGTGAATTAGAAAGCCGTGTGTCACAATTAACTTCATTTTGCTGATGAAGCTCTTTGTTAATAATTAAATGTATTCGATTAGACCGAAGAAAATCTTACGTTGCTTTTACGACTTTTACAACTGGAGTCAAATACAACTCTTTTGTAAACTGCTTTGAGCCTTGACGAAAAAAAGCTTGTTGCGTGCGAGCTGTTAGAGCATGCATGCTTGCATGTCTTCACTGTTACGCAGTTGGCGGAAAGCAGCTCTAAGCTGATAAAGAGACAAACAAGAGAGACTACTAATTTATGTCACGAAATAATGAACAGCAAACAACAAGTAAAGGGGAAACTTGGTCACGTGGTACAAATTTGCGTTTGCCGTTTTACTTGAACGCGATGCTTAACCTCTCTTATATGTTATTTTTGGCTGGTTTATTTTTCCCTAAAACGTAAAATAGACAGGAATGTTTGCTACTCGGCCTAAGGCACAAGATAGTGTATTTGTAGCCTGTGAAGATAAGAGCATAAGGTTTTCCATCTAAATCGATCGTGTTGTACTCTTTGTCCATTCTCTGCCAACACGGTCGTAATAACAATGACTGTTAGAGCATATCTTATGGGCTGTTTGTAAGGAGGGAGGAAAATCCTAGAAGGCGGATCGTCCTAGTACCATATGTTTTCTGCATTCAGTTTAAATGCAAAAAGTTGTGCTTTTCCCTACTGCTAGGATCTCCCTAGTATTAGATCTTTCTAGCCCAGGGGAAGGAAGCACCATGTAAACTGCTTTCGCTATGAAAATCCTAGTAATAGGGACAAATCACTGAAAAATGGCGGCGCGTCGTTCAGTTAGTAATCTTTGAGCTTTTAACTACACGGACCAAAATTTCTGCATCCGTAAACCCAAAGAAAAGTTGTTTCGCCTTCTAGGATCTCCCTAGTGCTTGGATCTGCTTCCCTCCTTGAAAAAAAGGCCCCAGAGTGGTTACTGAGGTTAAACAATCTGTAAACACTTAAGGAGACAGGTCTTGAATGAGTTTTGTTGATTTTTATTTTGCGGACGAAAGGGGTAAAAAAAGTAATAACTAAACCATGAGTTTTAAGTGTTAATTGAGATTACATAAAGTCTGCAGTGAGCTAATAATGTCTCGCTGAAATATTGGTTGATACAGGGTGGCCACCTAATACGGGGTTTACTTTTACAGTTTCACTGTTAGAAACCCTCTATAATAAGACATAAACTGAATATAAAGTTAAGGATAAATTTCCATTCTGTTTCAGGTGACCAGAAAAATGTCAAGTGGACCGATTGAACCAATTACAGAGCAAGAAAACCGCGCCTGGTGTATCGTCTATGGCTTTGAATCAGCTGCCTGCATAGTGGGAAACATTCTGACCATTGCTGCTTTTGCCATCACAAAGTCCTTGCACAAGAAAACCTATCTTCTATTGATCAGCTTAGCAGTAGCTGATCTCTTGGTGGGTTTTGTTGCCATTCCCATGTTCATTCATCTAATAGGCGGCACGGTTACACAGTGGTGGGAAGTGGATAATCACGTGAGTCACACGCAGACAGCCATCGAGATCTTCACTTCGTACGCTTCTATCTTCTTTCTGGTGGCGATCGCTCTTGAGCGGCTGTACGCTGCGGTATCGCCATTTAATCACGATAGTCTCAAGCCTGTTGCTTATTTCATTGTAATCACTGTAGTGTGGCTTTTCGCTGCGCTGTTAGGAATTCTCTCCTATTTGCGTGAACAGCATGTTGGTGCTGCCGACAACGAGGGAGTGTTTTTGTTTATTATGATAATGCTCGCACTTTCCATTGTAACTGTTGTTGTATCCTACATTCTTATTGCAATAATTTTGATGAGATCTCGCTCCATATTGACCGACGACTTTGAGCGTAGAATGGCTGTCACCCTCCTTCTCTTGAGCGTTATTTTCGTAGCCACATGGTTGCCATTTAAAGTAGTTAACTACATTTTTCATTACAACCCCTCTTCAACTCTTGGCTGTGGAAGCGACTTTGGTTGCCTCTACCAGGCAATTTACGCCACAAAGTTTCTGCATTATTTCAACTCAGTCGTGAACCCCATCATTTATGCTCTGAGGGTTAAAGATTTTAGGAAGGGTGTCAAACGAATTCTGTGCTGTGCTGATCCCGCACCACCACAGAACCGAGCCCTTGGAGAAATAAAAGGGATAGATAACACCATGGTATCCATGCAGTCCATCGATACCGTTGTTCCCTCTATGTATCTGTAAATATATATACAGCTAAATCTTTAACGTACAGTGAAGTAAAGATGTATAAAAATTCAGTAGGTTTAGAAAGAGAAGTTTTAGAAAGAGTTTTATGCACGAGTAATGAGAGCTTTTAGGAATACCGTGTAGCACGAAACTTTTGCGGGTTCTACTGGTTCTACATCAGTGTGCGATATTTCCAGCGATTTTTTAAGCAATCCGCAAAAATAAGTTCTCGCAAATAAAAATTAACGCAAACATTTTTCCCGCAAAAATTTACTCCAGAGTAACTTAAATTCGCTACACAAAAATACAGTACTAAGAAGTCATGTCTATTCAATTACAACTTGTCTCTGGCGTTCAGAAACAAAACGGTATACAGTGAAATACCTGTTTTACTTAGGGTTCGCACACCGTAGTATTGTTTGAAAATATGTATCTCAATTGCACGTTCTCAATAAAAACGAAAATATTGTCAATGCTGGGTACTGGGTACTTTTTGAAAATCGCAAAAACTAATTCCCACTGAAGAAAGACCAATCTGTCCGAATCGCAAAAATTAGTTCTCTCAAAACACAAAAAGTCGCAAACCGCGTAAATAAACTCCCGCAAAAATTTTGTGCCACACGATATATTGGATTATACAAGTACCAGTACTTGTAAAAACAGTCCGACTCTATTTTACTTTGATATATTTATAGAATTAACTCATTTATTCAAAAGCGATACTTCTTATAGCTCAGTACTAGAACAATATCAGACTGAAGTATCTGGATGTAATATTGCATGCACCACGTACAGGTCCTTACAAGTTAAATTCATTTTCTGATGACTTTATTTTAATCAGCTACGTAAGGAAATTCTTAAAGCATTAAATTTTACACTTTTGTTGATATGCATTCTTTAACGGCAATTCGAGCCTTTGCTTTCAACTGTGGACTTGATCTTGTTAAGACTGTTTTGGTACTATAGTTATCTTTGTAAATGGTAATGCGTAATTTTTTAATCAGAGTACAGCTTACTCAGTATTGTATTTCGCTTTTTTTAGGATATCAATCATGCATGTAACCTTGTTTTAACTGTTTACTTAATTTCTTCAGTGTAAATAGTGATTAGTTTGAAATAAAAATGATCCCATGTATCATGTAAATTGTTATGATCTTTATTTGCAAGTTGACAATTCCCTGATTCATGATAATTATAATCCGTTATTTCAGGTGAGGGGGAGGGGGGGTGGGCAGGAATGAAATTACGACTTCCTGCCTTCAATAAGGGAACCATGTAAACAGGTAAATGGAGTTTTTGATTGGTGTAATATAGCACTAACTGTTAATTAAAAGAGCCTTTTCTTTCTTGTTTTCACGGCAACCCCTTGAGGGCAGGCATTGTCTCTTAGGAACCAGTCATAATTTAAGTTGGAAGGGGGGATGGAGGAGAAATTGTTTTTTATCCCAAATTATTTCCAGACCCCTACTAATAGCACCCATGTTTTTTAGGTACCCCCCCTTCAATCATGTTAAAAGATTTAAGGGCCCCCCCTTCTTACATAATACCAGAATGGTAATAACAAATAACATTTTCTTTACTTTACCGTTCTTACTCACTGTCACTTCCGAATGTGCCAACTATGCAACAGAGAATCACTTCACACTAAACTGAGAGAGAGATTTCACCTAGAGCCTCTCAAACAGCTTATAGAGCAAGGATATTTTAGTGATTGTGTTATAATTGAGATAAGACGAGCCATCGAAAGGTTAGAGGCCGACAGGACCGCTTCAAGGAAGAAAGAAGATAATCAGCCAAAGCTCACTGCTTTTTATATGAGCAGTACATGCTCTAATAGCAAAAAACTTAACAGTGACACAGACAGTGAGTCCGCATCAACCTCATCTACAAATAATGATTCGGATAGTGAGATTGCATAACATGACTTTATGCTTGTAATCATTTGTTAAAATGCCGATGAAATTGTTTCAGTGTTACACAATAATGGATGTTGTGTTGATGCACCTACTATTTGAGCATTAAATCTTTTTGTCAAAATGCTGATTAACTTATTTTAGTATTAGATAAAATAGGACTTTGTGTAAAACTGAATCAAAATCAGGTCCTTTAATACTCAAACATCATGCTGCTCAGTAGGGATGCTACTTAAAAGAAACTTGAAGACCCCCCCAAGGTCATCTTTTGGCATTTTAAGGCCCCCCATATTCCATCCAAAAAAAATTGAAGGTCCCCCAGTTTCTCCTCCACCCCCCCCCACCTCCAACTTGAATTATGACTTGTCCCTTATCTATCTCAGGCGGATCCCCTTTGACTCGCCCCAACTCCTCGATTTTTTTGGAATTCGATTGGAATTCAACATGGTGGTTATGCATGCAGAAATATTAACGCACCTAAAATGCAGTGCAGGTTACTGCTCTCACGCCGGCAAAAGATCGTAAACCGGGTATTTTCATATTTTCGCCATAGACTCGCAAAAGAACACGCACTATGAGGAAAAGTCAAGTTTACTTCATTCATCTTTATTACTTTATTTGATGCAAAATTTCGCGTAACATCACACTGGCTCTCGAACACCTCGGATGGTCGGTCTGAGGAGATACGTAAGACATCTATACCATCGGGGAAAAACCATGGATTTACCGTTTGCTTTGTCTGAAAATTGTGAAACATTTGAGTTGGCACAGTTAACGGCAAACTCAATATCCTTCAACATCGCTCAAATTACCCCTTATGAGGCAAAAGATAACAGTATGCCATAAGACTAAACAACCTTAATCACCTGTGTGTTTAGCATTGGGAGGCGTGTGTGGCCGAGCGATTAAAACCTCGTACTGTCCGGCGGGATTCAAGCCTCGCTCTTGGCATTGTTTCTTTAGACGAGCAACTTTACTCCACTTTGTCTCTCTTCACCAAGGACGTATAGATGGGTACCCTACATCCTGTCCAGGGGGTAGTAGTAGAAATACTCCTAGGCATGCTTCATGCTAATGAAACAGGGATTATAAGTTCCCGCGGCCGTTTGGGCCTTTGGCTCGTGTGCGCCTTTACCTTTTACCTCACCTTATTTAGCATTGATCCAGGCACAGCTTTCGCTACAGATGAAGCAAACGGTTTTGAAATATAATACATTAACTATAAAGCTGCAAACTGTAACATAAACAGATTGTGTGAGCCTCCTGTAAGTGATCTCACGGAGAAGGCAATGATCGAAATGCACCAATCACAATTTGTCAAAAGCAACCATTTTCAACGGAGCATCGTTCTTTATATACTAAATCACTCGATCTCATCGCCTGATAAAGACATGTAGTACTAAGCTGTTGAAACGTCACCATCTACACTCAGAAGCGACAACATAATACTATATTATTATCATTATTATCATTATTATTATAGAATTATTGTAACCCCTGGCTTGCTTGACAGACCTCTGAGGGTGTGGGCTGCTAGTTGTTCCTGGAATTCTGTCAACGTACTTTTCCAGTCCCTTCTTAATGACCCCAAGCACCCCAATAAAACTAGTTTCCTCTCTGTTTCCCTTTTCCACATTCTGGGGATTTCAAGCTCTAAGTCTTTATACTTAGAAAGTTTCTCGACTACCTTAACGGATGTATCACTGTCGGATTTGACTGCCATATTTATCATCTGGCATTTCTTAGTCGTCTGATCTCTGATGATGATATCTGGCTTAATAGCTGCTATTTCTCACTCAGTGTGAATTGACATATTCCACAGAATCGTTGTCTCTTCGTTTTTACAACAGTTTCTGGTTTGTCTTCGCACAATTTGTCAGCGGTCGTGATTTTATAGATCTGGCAGACCTTCCAATGTATATGTAATGTTGCGTTATCGTGCTTTTGAATGTATTCAGTCTTGGCAAGTTCTGGACAGCCAGACAACATGTGATCTACAGATTCATCAAACTTTGCAGACTTTCTCCATATTGCGCTGGTTCCATCTTTGATTATGTTGTTATGGTATTATTATTATTATCATTATTATTATTATTAATGGTATTATTTGTTTACTTTAGGACGGTGACTGATTTACGAGAGTCTAACAATAACAACACCCCACTGCACTTTTAATTATATTGGCTCCCTCTATCTAATGCTCGCAAAAAAATGTATAGGTCCTTTGTATTAGCTACTTCTTTTCATGGACACCAGCCGAATGTTGCTCTTTGGAATGTCTTTTACAACACACCCACAAAGAATTTTTTTCATTTCTCTTCGAAAGTCGGGCATTCTAAGATTATAGACGATGGGGTTCAAAAGTGAGTTTGCGTACTGAACAAGTCGAGTTATGACTATTATGCTGTTTGAGATCTGCACATTGGAAAGAAGATGAAAAAGGATAAAAATGATTTTGAATGGTAGCCACGATATAAGGGATAAAACCGTAACTATGAATAGTGTTTTTACCAGATTTTTGTTCATCTCTGTCGCTGACGTGCGGGGCTTGAAAACTCTCTTCTTGAATTTGATCCAAATTGACGCGTATGATGCGAACGTGATAAGTAAAGCCAACCCAATAAATGCTGATATAACAATTATGGGGATCTTTTTGTTGAACATTATGTGAAAAGGAAGCAAATTAATGGCAGAAAGGAAGCCAGATAAAAACCACACTGACAGTACACCTGTGATGTAATAACGGGTTGGCATGGAAACGTGGCGAAGAGGTCTTAAAATGGCGTGTGCCTTTTCCAAGGAAATCGCAGCAAGAAAGAAGATGGAACATGGCGTCGCAAAGACGTCAAATGCAACAATAAATTCGTAATAAGCATCTCCGTTGACGAAACGCGAAGGTAAAATGTCTTCTAACATTGCGAAAATAAGCACAAATCCCACCAACAAATCAGCAGTGGTTAAGTTGATTAGAAGGATAGTTGATCGTCTTAGGAAAAACCTCCGACGCCAAAAAACGACAATACTTGTAGCGTTAACAAAGATAATGAGAATTCCTAATAGGAGGAAAACTACTATTTCTTTTACATCTTTCTCCTCGCTGTAGACGTCATTTGGGAAAGTCACTATGGTCTTGTTCTTTGTGTTTTCTACTGGAGCGGTCGAGAAAATCTCCATTGAACTCGTAGAACAGTTTTCTTATCTAAACCAATCAAGTTTGAATGCTTCGATATCAATTTTTTTGATCATTTACATCCGCTTCTCTAAATAAACAGACATGGCATTAGCACAACAAACGAAAAGGTTGATAAGGCGGGAGGGATTTTGTCTGAGAAGGCAAAAACCTTTGTCCGCTTGACCTGGAAAATATTTTTAAAAAGATTCTTTGGTGTCAACTTTCGTTCAAATTGTTTTCAAATCATCCTCTTCATAACACGAAAACAGTATGAAAGAAAGTTGGGTTTTTCTTTATCCGCAAACAGGTGCAAGTGACGAAACCGTTTGTTCACCTATTCAAACATTCGAACTATATCCTAAAGCAGCACCTATTTAACTCTTTCTCGCTTAAATAATTAAAATGTCAAAATGGCAATTTCTACTAAATATCTCATCTAAAGGGACTACGGTATTTATCAATCCTCATTTCAGTCAGCTGTTAATTAGTTTTCATTCCTGTGTGATCCTTAAAGGCTGAACATATAGTCACGTCCACATTAGAGGGTCTGAATGGGGGGTCCACTTGTCGGTTGTGGGTTAAAATTCAGTAACTTTGTCGGTAGTCGGTTAAAATTTTCGATCTTTGTCGGTAGTCGGTTAAACGTTTCGATTTTTGTCGGTCGTCGGAAAATCTCAGCGAATAAGTAAAATTAATAAACAATTATTGGATGAGGTTGAGCATGATATCATGAATTATGAAAACCGAGGTCTGTGTTATCTGCCGAAGCCGAAGGCTGAGGCAGATAATACAGACACGAGGTTATGATAATTCATGATATCATGCGAAAACCGAATTCAATAATTGTTTTACTACACATTTTTTAAACAATAGGCAAAAGAAGACATTCAGCCATTCTGTTACTGAGGAGAACACTCCAAGGGGCTTGGTAACCAGGCAGACTTTGAACTTGACATGATAAATGCAATATCTACAGCAGATATTGCATTTATCATGTCAAGTTCACAAGCTATAGTGAATTGATTGAATGCTCTCGACCAATCAGATTTTTCATAGTGAGTCTGATGTATAATAATATTTGTTATGTATTTCACCCACTTTTCGAGACTTTGATCCCTAAGGAAAAAATAAAACTTGTAAGAATCTGAATGCATCATTTGATTGCACTTAAACTTCATTAACCGGCTTGTTTGTTTATGCAAAATGATAGTTTATTTCACCATTGTTTGCCAAATGAATATGATGAGTACTGATAAAATCACCAAAGCTTTTATTGTAAATGCGAACTTGGTTTCGCGGTAGACTACAAGGCTCAGTAAAAAGTAATTAATTAATCAATGGACTCTAGCCTTTTGATTACTTCAATTATTTTTAATGGAATACTGCAAGGGGTGACAGGCTGCACATCTATCCCTCTTATGTTTTGGCTCTAACAAGCATGTCCTTTGCCATAATTTTACTTTCTCCGAGATATAGCCCTTTACGTGGTTCTTTAAAATTTTGTCAAGGTAGTGGTTGGTTTTGTATGAGATTCCACTTTTTCATTAAACTCGCTTCTTTTATAATAGACACTAAGGGCTGGTATTGTGTCACGAAAGGCAACATTTCTTTTTCTTCCTTGTTGTTTTGTTTCAGGAGAGCTGCCTTTCTTTCTGTGAGTTTTACTTCTGATAGCAATTTTTCTTCCAAAATTGTGTGGCTAGCCTCTGTCCATCAAGCCCTTTTGAAATCTGAAATACCTAGTCCTCAGAGGAGTTTTTTCGTAGGATTCTCAAGGCTTGTCGTTTGTACAACATGCGCTCTTAATTAACAATTGGTGGATGATAAGAGGTGAAAATGTATATACTGTAAGGTTTCCGTTTGAAATGCGTCTTTACGTCAAGGATAGCTTTTTCTCATTTTTCGCTGAATGTTCTGCCTTGGTATACAACTGTTTCTAAAAGAATGTCTCATTTCCAGATATTTCGGCCGTGAATTTCATAGTAGAGTGATGTAAGTATACTTGTTCGGCGAAGAAAGGTACGATATCTGGTTTACTTATGTCCCATATAGGGAAAAACTGTCATTGTCATCTATGTAGCAAATTCAAACAGTTGGTTTAAAGACGGTTTTTGCTTAATTAAACTTTGTGTTTCAATATATGCCATGAAAATGTTGGAAAGGAAACTGCTGTCTTTGTGCCCATCCCCGCGGTACCGTGGGTCTGTACTGATAGTGCTTTCCATTAAACGGGAAAGAATTTTCGTTGAGGATTAATCTAAGCATTTCTCGGACCGAAACAAGAAACGTTCGGCTTTTTTCACCTTTGTCGTTTCAATAAAATTTATAAAGTCGGTAGCATCTTTAAGGTGTGACTTTGCGATTTTGATATTGGCTGTAGCAATGTACCTGTATCAAAAAAAGGAAATTCTTTCCGTTAGGCCATCTGATGAGTCATAAAAGAGGTTACTTCCTTCCTAGACAAAAAAAAAAAAAGCAAAATGCTCTTTTTTCTGGAAACAAATATTGATAATATCAGCCCATGTCGGTAGTCGGTTATATTTTTCCTGTCGGTAGTCGGTAAGTTTTTAATAATTTTGTCGGTAGTCAGTAATATTTTTCGCCCTTTGTCGCTAGTCGGTTAACCCCATTCACACCCTCACATTAGGAAGGTCTCATCATAGATCAGGAGAACTGTCCATGTTTTTGAGGGGTTGTCAAGCCTCATCCCATAAGGTCTACTACCCGTTAAACTTGAAATGAGTCAGAAGAGACGCGTTTTTATTTGCTCGTCTGTTCAGCTTCCACAAATCACTTAGCAGCTGTAGGTCACCGAGGCGCCTCGCTCTAATTATTCACGTCTGAAAGAAGATGAGACACCAACTGTACACGGACTAATATCAGGTTAAAGGAGAAGAAGGTTCAGCTAAGTTTCGCTAGTACTAAGCCGTGTTTCAGGTTGTTTGCACGACAATTGCCTTCCTTCTCAGTTGATATGCTATCGGTTTGCGCCCGACACCCTCGTTTTCCCATTTTTATTCAAAATCAAAAAGATAAACAAATGCATGAGGTGTACAGATTCGAATATTGTTTTTCCATCTGTGAAATACAACGTGAAAAATATAACTAAGCTTTTACCTACTTAGTATGTTAAGGAATACATAAAATCTACAGTACCTGTGGACTAAAAATAATGCTGAGTAAGCCTATAATAGCCTGAATTTCGGACATATCTTCGAGTCGCTTACTCTCTCAGAGACTCGAAAGTATGTAAGATCAAGTTCAGGCTAAGCTTATAACTGATCAAAGGCTGAAAAATTTGTACGAGAACTGAGATGAGCCGAAGCTCACTATACTATTACTTATTTACTTTAAAACATTTGCTTAGAGAAAAAACTTTAAAAGCTGAAAAACGGCTAGCACTGGACTGAACAAGGCTCAGTTGGATCCTTCTAAATTGACGGCTTTATTCAGCCCATTTGATAAAACCAATTTTTTTGTGCTTCCTTCTCCCGCAGAATTAAAGCAGAATCAAAGTTTCTTGATCATTTTAACTGTTAACTACACTACACTGATGAATGTAAGTTAGCTCCTTTGCAGCTCTCGTGCGTTAATGCCAATGGAAAATATTTACACTTTCTGTCACTGCCATCTTCGATTTAGTCCTTGAAATCCGAATACCTTATCTTTCTTTGCCACTTACCTACAGGTGACTAAATATCGCTTAGCAATCGCTTTCTGACGGTTCCAGTGACGTTTTGTCTATCTGCCTGTTTGGTAAACAATAAAAGTTTAAGACCATCTTATTCTATTTTATCAAACAGACTCTCTTTCTATCTGTTTTGCCCATCCATTGCCCCATGGGCAATGTAAGCAAATCCAAAACAGTCTTGGATTGTGGATTCCAGGCCTTGGATTCTGGATTCCAGCTACTGGATTCTAGTTTTTGTCAGTGGAACTTGAATTCTAGATTCCAATCGTTAGTGGGATTCCAGATTCCTTGAGCTGTATTCCCTACCAAACATTAAAGAGAATTTTGGGAAAAGGACCTTTCTTTTTACTGGCGAAAAATTTTTTAACAAACTCCCTTTAAACATTGCGAAGAGTGAAACATTCAGACGTTCTGCCGCTGAGCAAGACATTTCTTTTTATCAAAACTTTGATATATTATTATATTTTAAGTTTTAAATGTAATTTTGTTAATTGCATTGTATGTTTAGGCTTAGGCTTCTGTAAATGTAATAGTTTATAAAAATCCTTAATGTAAATTAATTTTTTAAGATACAGGGCCCCTATGGAGACCAGCCTTAGAGTTGAATGGGCTAACCTGTGTAAATAAAGTTTTACTTTACTCTGAATCCCAAAGCCCAGGATTCCGCCAGATTCTTGTCATGTCTTTGATTCGAACGGACTAAGTGCACATGCTCAAAGTGTATTGGCCACTGGCCAAAAACACCACAACTCCTCCCCACTAGCTAGTGCATGCAATATGGTAACTAATAAGGATCTGAAACGTTAAGTCAAACACAACACGCCTATTGAAATAAGCCAAGTCTTAATGTCATTTCAAAGTTCATAAATCCAGCCTAGATGGGGGCTTCTGCACTCGGATCGGATATTGTCTAAGAGGAACAGGTTCAGGAACAGGCTCACTCAAATTTGGTGGACTGCTGGCTGCAAGGTCAGCCAGTGGACTTGGTGGCGGAACATCAGTCTCCAAGTTGCTGGCTGCTGGCTGCTGGCTGCTGGCTGCTCACTGGCTACAGACACTGGTTCCTCACAACTCTCGACCTCGACTGGAAGTTCTGAGGTCTGGGTAACAGGGTTGCTGCTTGGTGTCACTGGGATTCTGGTATCCCTCAGTTGGTCTGTGTGTCGACGCCATACTAAGCCAGGTTTGACTTCTAATTCGTAAGAAAGGGGGCCAAGCCGTGTTCGGATGATGCCAGGTACCCACTTTGTACTACCAGTGTAATTTCGTGCTATCACTGTCTGACCGATGGAGAATTCTCTAGTTACAGCACCAACCTTCGTGACGGTTTGGTCTATCTGACGGTTGCTTATCTTCAAGCGGAGATCTGTTTTCAGCAAGTCCAGTCGAGTGCGTAATCGTCTTCCCAAAAATAGCTTAGATGGCGCTTCTCCAGTGGTTGAATGGGGGTATTTCTGTAAGCTAGCAAGAACGTTGCCAGCTTAATGTTCAGAGGTTTTACTTCCGTTCCACCTTTCATGGCTGATTTGAAACTCTGCACACAGCGTTTGGCTAGACCATTGCTGGCAGGATGGTATAGAGCAGATGTCAGATTTTTTATTCCCTTTCTCTTGAGGAACATCTAAAACTCTTCAGATTTATTCTGTGGCCCATTGTCACTCACTAACTGGGATGGCACACCATATCTAGCCAATAAGCTCTGCAGTTTCTCGATGGTTTTGGTTGAGGTCGTGGTGTTCATTTTCTCTATTTCCAACCATCTAGAATGGGCATCCACGACAACCAAAAACATGCAGCCGAGGAAAGGTCCGGCAAAATCAATATGGATTGGTTACCAGGGTGGCGATGGCCATTCCCATGGATGTACAGGTGCGGTACTAGGTTCAGCCTGCATTAGCTGGCAACCCGAGCAAGTCTTCGCGGTTTCCTCAATTTCCTTGTCGATCCCTGGCCACCAGATGTAGCTTCTTGCTACGGCCTTCATCTTCACTACTCCAAGGTGTCCTTGATGGAGTTCTTCAAGTACTTGTGGACGAAGTGTTGGGGGTACTATGACTCTGATTCCCCATATCCCCTGAGTGTACTGTTCTCTCATCCCTGCGAGCGTAGAAGGGGTCCAGTACAGGAATGATGGCTGCTTAGCCACCCTTTAGTCACCATCTCATGGAATTGGCTCAAGACAGGGTCCCTTTGGGTTTCTCTTCGGACGTTGTCAACTGTGATTGGTAAGGGCTCAAACTGCATCAAATTGAAAACATTTACTGGATCCACAACTTCTTCTGCTCTCTCTTCGGTTTTAAGTGGCAGCCGGGAAAGGTAATCTGCATTGCTATGCACTTCACTGTTCTTGTACTCGATTTGGTAGTCATATCCAACCAAGAATAATTCATAGCGCTGAAGCCGGGCTGCCGTAACCACTGGAATGCTCTTGTGTGGATGGAAGATGGATGTTAACGGTTGATGATCGGTGTACAGGGTCAAAGATCGGCCAAAGAAATACACATGGAACTTCTTGACTACCCAGAATATTGCCAAAGCTTCTTTATCAATTTGCGTGTACCCTTGCTCAGTTTTTGTCATTGTCCTGGAAGCAAAAGCAATGGGTCGGTCAGTCCCATCATTCATCACGTGGGATAGCACGGCACCGATTCCCACAGGGGATGCATCAAAAGCAAGCCTTAGTGGCAGACTGGGATCATAGTGTGTTAATACTTGCTCTGAGGTCATCATTTCTTTCACGTTGTCGAATGCTGTTTCGCATTGTTCCGTCCATTTCCACTGATGGTTGTTCTCTAACAACTGGTTTCAAAGGGGGTACCACTGTTGACAGATTGGGCAAGAAGCTGTTGCAGTAATTGACTAACCCCGGAAACGACCTCAGTTCAGCTACATTGCATGGGCGAGGCGCTTTCAAAACTGCTTCCACTTTCTCTGGTGACTTGTGGAGACCATGACTTTCAATATCGTGTCCACAGAAGGTTATCTTCTCTTTGAAAAACTCGCACTTTGTCTTGTTTGCTCTTAACCCATGAGGGTGTAGGCGACGTAAAACTTCTAGGTTGGCAAGATGCTCATCATCATTCTTTCCAGTGATGATCATATCGACAAGGATACAGCTTGTTCCAGACGTTCCTTCTAACACTTGATCAAAGGTGCGCTGCCAGATAGCAGGTGCAGAGGTGATGCCAAACACTAGTCGGTTGTACTGAAACAGTCCCATATGGGTGTTGATTGTGAGGTATTTCTTTGAATCTTCTTCCATCTCTATTTGGTGATATGCTTGGCGGAGGTCAATCTTTGAGAATTTCTGCCCACCAGCAAGGTTTGCAAAGATGTCTTCAGTGCGAGGAAGAGGGTACAGCTCTGCTTGTAGTTCTGGATTCACTGTGATCTTGTAATCACCACAAAGTCTGACGGAACCATCTTTCTTCAGGACAGGCACAATCGGTGTGGCCCATTCACTCCACTCTACTTTAGTGAGAATACCTTTATTCTGGAGTCTCCGCAGTTCCTCCTCCACCTTCAGGTTTAATGCATACGGCATCGGTCTGGCCTTGAGGAAGCGTGCTTGGCTATCGTCTTTAAGAGTTAACTTCGCTTTGGCTGATGTAAAGCTGCCCAGTTTATTTTCAAAAACATCTGAGTACTTGTCTAGCATAACTTCCAAACGCTCTTTAGGACTTTAGGTAGCTAGTGAAGCCTTATTCTTGACGACATACAGGTCCATCACCTCTCTTTGGTTTTGGTAATCCACGGGTACTTTGAGCACTCCCACTGGCATAATGTTTTCCCCGGTGTAGGTTTTCAAGGACAGTCCAGTTTTGTGCAGGGGAAGCCTGTTAAATTTCTGCTGGTAGAGGTCAAACGAGATGATCGACACAGCCGAACCTGTGTCCAGTTCCATCTTAAGTGGTTTACCATCAACATCCAAATCAACCCAGATAATTTCATTGCTCTGTTTCCTCACATTGTGTACCTCGAAGGTGGCTAATATGTCTTCATATGCATCAACATCAACATCAACTTCAACAGCATGTACCTCTGGGGTTTTGGTTGCTTGCTTAGGCTTGCCTTGCTGTTTGGAACGACAACCTCGCTGGATATAGCCTTGTTTTCCACAGTGGTGGCAGATCTATTCCTTCTAAAAACAATTGTGTGTCGTATGTGTGTTCCCACCACAGCGGTAGCGAACGAGGGTGGTCGCCGGTTTCGCTGGTGTTGGTTTGTTGTGTTCAGTCAATTTGTCAACGTGAGGGACTGGGTTGGGGTTGAGCTCACTTAGTAATTCTGAAGCATCGCGGATGGCAGTTTCCATTGCTACAGCAATCTCCACAGCTTTGGAATACTTCAGTTTGGCTTCTGACAGTAATCGCTTTTGGATCTGCATATTTCGAAGTCCACAGACCAGTCTGTCTCGTAGCGCTTCGTTCAGATTCCCGCCAAAATTACAGTGTGTGGCAAGCTTCCTTAGCTCGGCCACGTAAGACAAAATGCTTTCTCCTCCATGTTGGTTTCTCTTGTAGAAACGAAATCTTTCCGCAATTTCCAAGGGATTCGGGCTCAAATGCTCCTGGAGAGTGGTAACTACAGTCGACTCCCGATAACTCGAACCTTCAAGGGAAATTGAAAAAAGTTCGAGTTATCGGGAGCTCAAAGAAAATAGCCGAGAGCAAGGTAAAAAACAGTTTTTACTGCACAGTGAACATTTTAATCACATTTAATTGTAGAAATGTCAAGTGAAAACTAAAAGATACTTCTAGATTATAAATCAGAACGTAACGTATCAAAACATAACCTAAATAGAGCATGCGTTTTACTGTTTTGAGACGTAAAGCTGCTTCACGTTAGCCTGTGACAATCAACATCAGCCTCCATTAGTAAACTATACTCCTACAACACGTTAATAGGAAATCCAAAATTCAATGTTTCGGAAGCTAGTAGACGGCTTTTTTCCCGACTCTTTAAGGGCTCGAAACATGGTTCGAGTTATCGAGGGTAAAATTATATAGGAAATGACATGAGGGGAAACGAAAATTGGTTCGAGTTAGGGACTGGTCAAAAAGTATAGGGGGGGGGGTGGGCCGGAGCATTTGGAAATGTGGCTGATAAAAAACACATGACCCACCCCCTCCCTTCGGCACAAAAATGACTGACCCACCCCTAAAGCAAGGTTGGAAATTGCATGACCCACCCCCTAGTTAAAACATGGATGTTTGGTTTCCTCTAAGGCCATCCCCTTTTTTTTCTTCGTTTACCGTCGAACGCGTTTCCTGATATTGGGTCGGTCGGTCGGATTGAAAAAAAAAAAAAAACCTAAAAAATAAATCACAAGAAGTCTCGGAATAGTAAGCCCTGGTACCCCAGGACGACGTTAAAAGTTAACATTCACATATTTGGATTAACAAAATGTACAATATACTGTGAAAAATGTTCATGTTTTGTTCCTGTTTTTCTCTATGCTGCTACTGTGCTCATTTTTGAGGTTAAAAGAATTATGTCAAGTGAAAAATGGTGTAACTACGTCGTTACTTTTTTTTGTTTTGAAAATGCCAAATATTTGGGTCGGTCGGATGACGGTAAACGGAGAAAGAAAAAGAGGATGGCCTAACCTTGTTCTGTGCTTGACAAAATTTGTTGATACACTGCTACAACCAATATCAAAATCACAGAAATCATACCTTTCACTGAAAAGACAAATGTGAAAAACCGAACATTTCTTGTTTCGATGGACGTTTTGAGTCTTGACACAAATATACAGCAAAACGAGGGTATATTGAAATTTTCTGTCACAAAGCATATGAAAATTTCTACAAAGACAACCCATTCCTACATTTTACTTGCCGGAAATTCTTAGATTAATCCTCAAAGAAAATTTCTTCCACTTCAATGGAAAGCACTACCTACAAAACCATGGAACTGCAATGGGCACAAAGACAGCAGTTTTGATTCCTTTGCCAATATTTTCATGACATATAATTATTGAAACAATAACTCTAAGCAAAACTGTCCTTAGAACAACAGTTTGGAAATGCTACATACACGATATCTTTTCCCTATGGGACATAAGTAAAGCAGACATCGAAGCCTTCATTGAACAAGCAAACTTACATCACCCAACTTTTAAATTAACCGCCGAAACATTTGACACTGAGATGCAGCGTTTTTAGACACGGTTGTATACAAAGGCACAAGATTCAAGAAAATATCTATCCTTGATGCAAAGACACATTTTAAACAAACAGAAACCTTCTTGCACACACATTTCACCTTGTGTCACCCTCCAAGTGTTAAAAAAGGATTTGTCAAAGGAGAAGCCTTGAGAATCCTACGAAAAAACTCCTCAGAAACAACCTTTGAGGAAAATTTAACAAAAAAAAACGCTCGATGGACAGAGGCTACCCACAAACTTTGATAGAAGACCTACTATCAGAAATAAAATTCACAAAAACGAGTCTAAACTCCCAAAACAAAACATACAAGGAGGAAAAAAAAATATTGCCATTTGTGACACAATGCCAATCCTCAAAATGCAATGTCTACAATAAAGGAAAGCTTGAATAATAAAAATGGGATCTTATACAAAACCAACCATACCTTCCATAACTTTTTGAGGAACCACCAATCATTTCCTTACAAAAAAGGAAAATCATTAAAGGACATGCTCGTTAGAGCAAAAAAAAAAAAAAGGTTAACAAAGGGTTTCACACCCGTATAGATGCATGTGCGGCCTGTCACCCGTTACATTTTCTCGCACAACAGGTTTGTGAGTATTATAGCAATAATTCCAGCTGGCTGTGTTTTATATAACAAGTGTGGTCAACTGTCTCGTTAGTACTTAGTGCTTATCTATGTAATAAAATAGGGTGACCCACCCCTTAAGGGTAGCTGAAAATTGCACGACCCACCCCTTCGACAAGGCTCAAAACCTCATGACCCACCCCCTCTCTGCTCCGGCCCACCCCCGCCTATACTTTTTGACCAGTCCCTTAGCGGGAGTTCGAGTTATCGAGGGTTCAAGTTACCGAGGGTAAAATTACAGTGAAAGTATGACGGAAATCCAGGGGAAATCGAGTTTGGTTCGAGGTAGCGAGGGTTCGAGTTATCAGGAGTCGGCTGTATCTGTTGAAAGAACTTTGTAGCTGGCTTCTCCGGTGAAAGAAGATCCCTCAGCAGAGTGTAGGTTTTCCCGCCGATCAAGCTCAACAAGGATGGCACTTTATGGTCATCATCGAAGCCGTTCGCCAAGAAAAACTGTTCTACTCGTTCCACATAGGTTTCCCTGTTCTCTTTTGTGTCATCAAAACTCTCTATCTTCCCAATAGTGGTCATAATTTTTTAAATTTTACCTCGTTGTCACTATCATGTCTTTGATTTGAACGGACTACGTTTTCGGAATGGAGCATAAGTGCGCATGCTCAAAGTGTATTGGCCGCTGGCCAAAAACACCACAATTCTACCTGCAAAAATTTCCTGGAATCCGGAATACGGATTCCCCTACACGGGGCAGCATCCAAATAAACCTTCTTTGGCAGTGCTTTCGCCTGATATTCAGTGTAATGTTAGTTTTAATAACGTTGAAAGCGTTATTTTTTTGTCCCACCTAAACATGATGAGACGTGTTTGTGATATGTTCATCAAAGCTAAGGATGGAGTCTACTTGAAGTCCCAAGTCACGTGCAGAGGAGGCTATAGTAACTTGGTTAGCCCCTTATTTCAGGTGCTGCATGTCTTTCGAACGGACTTTAAACGAATGTCCGCTCTCTTTGGGATGTCTTTTATACAGCATCCACAAATTAAATCGATCATTTCTTTCCGAAAGTCGGGCATTCGAAGGTTGTAGACAATGGGGTTTAAAAGAGAGTTAAAATACTGAAAAAGTCGAACTATTAATAAAATGTTGGCTGTAATTTTTACATTGGGATAGTAATAAAGAAGGATTAATATGACTTGCAATGGTAGCCAAGATACTAGTGATAAAATCGTCACCATAAAAAGTGTTTTCACCAGTTTTTGGTTCATTTCCGTGCGTGCTGTGGAAGGGTTGAACATCCTTTTATTGAATTTGAACCAAATTGAAGCGTATGATATGAAGATAATAAGTAATGCTAACCCAATAGATGTAGATATAACTGTAATTGTGATTTGCTTGCTTAAGATCGCGTGAAGAGGAAGCAAATTAATCGCAGAAAGGAAGCCAGCCATAAACCACACGGTGAGTACACCTGAGAAGTAATAGCGCGTTGGTATAAACAAGTGGCGAACAGGTCTTAGAACGGCGTGTGCCCTTTCCACGGAAATCGCGGCAAGAAATAAGATGGAGCTAAGCAAGGCAAAAGCATCAAATCCAACGTTCATTTCTGAATAAATCTCTCTACTGATGAAATACGATGGTAAAATGTCTTCCATTATGGTGAAAATGATCACAAATCCAACCAACAAATCAGCAGCGGTTAAGTTCATCAGAAGGATAGCTGATCGTTGTAGGAAAAACCTCCGACGCCAAAAAATCACAATGCTTGTCGCGTTACCAAAGATAATAACAAGTCCCAATGCAATGAAAAAAACAGTTTTTGTCACGTTTGCCTCCTCGCTGTCTATTTCATTCAACAAGATCAGGGAAACCTTGTTTGTTTTTTGCACCGAAGCGGACGAGGAATTCTCCATTTTATAGGTTAAAGGTTAAGTCAGGGTGCCGCTGTAAGCATACAGTCTTCAAAAACGCTACAGTGAAATCAATACTTAAACTGATATCTTTTTCGTTATTTGTGTAGGTCTTCACATGCCTATCGAGTCTAAAATGCTGAGTAATGTTTACCCTTGACCAGCTGAACAAACAGGAAGCATGCTAACTTTGATTTTGCTTACTTATCCTTTATTTATTTTAAATTTTAGCAGCAGATGCGTTAACTCTGATTATTTCTTTACGTCTAATTTCCCTGTCTGCGCTAGGCTTTCAACAAATTGCTCAAGATTACTAAAAAAGTTGGCAAAAGTTGCTTCATTTTTCCATAAGTAGCATTTGTGTTTGAAAAGCGCGTTTTCTTCTTCTTTCAGTTGATGGTCTGAAGCAAAATGTGAAAATTATCAAAACAAAGGAAGATTCCAAATGAAGATAGGATCGTCGAAGTGGTAATTGCAATTTAAGCTATAGCAAATTAACCCGAAAAAAAAATTCGTGACTTCAGCGGGATTCTAACCTATGGCCTCAGGCTGCGTTAGCACACCCATACGTTGGGCCAGGCCAATTTTTTGAGTTCATCTTTACCAGTGAAAGGAATAAAACATAGATTAAGAATGATGATGCGGAATACAAATTTAAATGAAGATATGATGGTCACAGGCCATGGGTTCGAACTCAGTTCAGAAGGTCAATTGGCAATTGAAGGTTATTTGCAATTACTTAAATATTGGCAATTACCATTGCGACGATCAAATCTTCATTTAAATTTGTATTTCCGCAGTCCACATCATCTTTTAAAGGAAGATTTAAATGGATTACGGTACAATTTTACGTTAGTCGCCCGCTTTAACTTTTTTTTCAATAACACGAACAAATGTGCGTACGTGTTTAGCATATACATTTAGATTTCCAGCCATCACGCGAAACGTTTTAGGGTGCTGATTTTTATTTAAAATTGAAAACCTTTTATTACATCAGTTTTATTAAAATGGTAATGCCTTCTCTTACAAGCTAGCGTTGCTCCAGTCTCTGTTGTTGCTACACCTCTAAATGTCCGGTTTGGTGGCTGACACGGGAAAGACACCTACCGGGATATACTGAGGCGCAGTCGCAGTCTGTCCCTTTATACATCTAATATAGTCTCATGTAATTAGCAAAAAAGCAGTTTGCACACGCAGAAAACTTTTTTTGTACATTTCCCTGCCGTTGTTTTGCACGACTACAACGTGAAACTTCCAGAAACTTCCCAGCTACACGTTTTATGGAGGATCTGTTGTACGGTTTCTTGTTCACTTTCATATGCACTGACGCTCATTTTCACCTTGGTTGCATTTTCTCATTTTCTCACTGCTTCTAGCATTGTGAAAATACCGGTAAGAATAAATCCCACCAACAAATCAGCGGTGGTTAAGTTGATGAGAAGGATAGTTGATCGTCTTAGGAAAAACCTCCGACGCCAAAAACCACAATACTTGTCGCGTTAACAAAGATATTGATAATGAGAATCCCAAATAGGAGGAAAACTACTATTTCTTTTACATCTTTCTCCTCGCCGTAGACTTCATTTGAGAAAGTCTCGTTGGTTTCGTTCTTTGTGTTTTCTACTGAAGCGGTCGAGAAAATCTCCATTGAACTCTGAGAAAAGGATTACTATGGCAAAAGGGTACGAAAGTTTTGAAAACAGTTTTCTTGTCAAACCCAATCAAGTTTAAAAGCATCGATATTAATTTTTTTCGACCATTTCATAAGCATCTCTATATAAACATGCGTGGCATTAGCCTAACCAACAAAAAAGTTGAGGAGGGAGGGATTGTGTCTCACCGGAGAAGGCAATACCTTTGTTCGCTTGACCTGGAAAATATTTGTAAAAAGATTCTTTCGTGCCAACGTTCCATTTTTTTTGGCGAAGAGCAAAGCGTGTTCAAAACACGATGAAAGAAAGTTGTTTTTTTTCTATACCAACAGGTGCAAGTGACGAGACATTTGTTCATCTATTCAAACATTCAATATTAACTGCTGTTTGTCATCATTTCAGCGGTTAATTAGTTTTCGTTCCTGTGCAAACGCCCACATTAGACGCGTCTGATCAAAGATCAGGAGAAGTGTCCATATTTTTGAGAGGTTGACAAGCCTCATCCCATAAGGTCTAAATAAACTTGAAATGAGTCAGAAGAGACGCGGTTTTATTTGCTCCTGTGTTCAACTTCCACAAATCAAACACTTGGCAGCTGTAGGTCACCGAGGCACCTCATTCTAATGTTCACTTCTGAAATGAGACACCAACTGTACCCGGACTATGATCAGGTTCAGGGTGAAGTTTCGCTCTTACTGAGCCGTGTGTTAGGGTGTTTCATTGTACGACAATTGCCTTCTCTCTCATTTGATATGCAATCGGTTTTGGCCCGACGCCCTCGTTTTCTAATTTTTATTCACAATCAACAGGATACACAAATGAGGTGGACGGATTCGAACATTATTTTACCTTCTGTGAAATACAACGTAAAAAATATAAGTAAGCCTGTACCTACGTAGCAAGTTATTAAATACATAAGATCTACCTGTGGACTAAAAATCATTTGAGTAAGCCTATAATGGCCTAAATCTCAGACATACTTTCGAGTCGCTTACTCTCTCAGAGAGTCGAGGGTATGTCTAAAGTCCAGGCTAAGCCTTTATCTACGTTTTATCTGCTCAAACCTTAAAATGTAATAGATTATAAAAATTCTTAATGTAAATTAATTTTTTAAGATACAGGGGTCCTATCGAGACCAGTCTTAAAGTTGAATGGGCTACCTTGTGTAAATAAAGTTTTACTTTACTTTACTCTGAATCCCAAAGCCCAGGATTCCGCCAGATTTTACCAGCAAAAACTTCCTGGAATCCGGAATCCGGATTCCCCTACACGCGGCGGCATCCAACTTAAACTTCTTCGGCAGTGCTTTCGCCTGGTATTCAGTGTAATGTTAGCTTTAATAACCTTGAAAGCATTATTTTGTTGTCTCAGTGTTTTTCTTTACGCTGTTCTAAGACTGTTCACACTCTTAGCTCTGACTTTTAAATTAATTTTAGGGAGTTTGAAGGTTTGTCCAATAGTTTCTGTTGATTTTGAAGCTATCCTTTTGGCAGGACGGCTCACTAGTTTCTATTTTTGAGTTTACTCTTTCCTTGATTTTAAAGCTTATTTTATTTAGTTCTTTAATTTGTACTCGTTTGTTAAACATTCCGGCATATCAAAAACGTTCCATTCGGGCGCAGGAGCAGCTTCGTCTTCACATTGACGACTTTCCTCACACTGGAATGCCGCTGAAATATCCGTCTGGCAAAGAACGTTTTAAACTGCTTCAAGAATGATTGGTTAGTAAAGTAACGTAAAAGTAAAACTTTATTGGATCTCCCCTGATAAGGGTTTTTCAGTCCCAACGTACGTAAGCATATAGATAAATCATAAGGTAAGTTTGCAATATTGAATAAAATATCTAAACGTTAAAATTATAGATTTTAATGATAGATAAAAACATCAATTGGTAACTCTCCTAGCTGACCAGAAATGATTCAGAAAGGAATTCTTAAAGTTTCTTTTTGAAAGTACGCAGGTTGTCTGTCGCAGTGATCGCACGTGGCAATGAGTTCCAGAGTTTAATTGCTCTCGATATAGAAAAGTTCGTTGACCTGCGGCCAATTGATAAACTGGAATAAATATTAAGACAGTCGTTATTTCTTGTGTTGCGATCATGAACAGTAGATCTTGTCACAAAGCAATCACTCAAGTAACTAGTTGCTAGCCCTTTCGCACAGTACACTTAAACGCGAGAACGCCTACCAGCCAGCGTAACTCCTGAAGAACCGGTGTTATATGATCAAATTTTCATGTATTAGTGATTATTCTTGCATTGAAATTCTGGACTTTTTGCAGCTTTGAGATATTTTTCTTAGAGGCGCTAGACTATACTGGAGAGCAAAAGTATAATTTGCTAAATACTTTATAGCGCATTTATAAGATTCCCTAATGTCCTGGTGCTGAGAAGCTGTCTCACCCTATTTACCTGACATAAACTACCTAAACATGATGAGACAGTGTTTGTAGTTCCAGTCCCAGGTCTTAAGTAGAGGAGGTTATAGCAACTTGGTTAGTCCCTTATGTCAGGTGTTATCTTTCGAACGGAATTCAAACGAATGCCCGCTCTTTTTGGGATGTCTTTTATACAGCATGCACAAATTAAATTGATCATTTCTTTCCGAAAGTCGGGCATTCGAAGGTTGTAGACAATGGGATTTAAAAGAGAGTTAAAATACTGAAAAAGTCGAACTATTAATAAAATGTTGGCTGTAATTTTTACATTGGGATAGTAATAAAGAAGGATTAATATGACTTGCAACGGTAGCCAAGATATTAGTGATAAAATTGTCACCATAAAAAGTGTTTTCACCAGTTTTTGGTTCATTTCCGTGCGTGCTGTGGAAGGGTTGAACATCCTTTTATTGAATTTGAACCAAATTGAAGCGTATGATATGAAGATAACAAGTAATGCTAACCCAATAGATGTAGATATAACTGTAATTGTGATTTGCTTGCTTAAGATCGCGTGAAGAGGAAGCAAATTAATCGCAGAAAGGAAGCCAGCCAAAAACCACACGGTGAGTACAGCTGAGAAGTAATAACGCGTTGGTATAAACAAGTGGCAAACAGGTCTTAGAACGGCGTGTGCCCTTTCCACGGAAATCGCGGCAAGAAATAAGATGGAGCTAAGCAAGGCAAAAGCATCAAAGCCAACGTTAATTTCCGAATAAACCTCTCTACTGATGAAATACGATGGTAAAATGTCTTCCAACATTGTGAAAATGATTACAAATCCAACCAACAAATCAGCAGCGGTTAAGTTGATGAGAAGGATAGTTGATCGTTGTAGGAAAAACCTCCGACGCCAAAAAATCACAATACTTGTCGCGTTACCAAAGATAATGACAAGTCCCAATGCAAAGAAAAAAACAGTTTTTGTCACGTTTGCCTCCTCGCTGTCTATTTCATTCAACAAGATCAGGGAAACCTTGTTTGTTTTTTGCACTGAAGCGGACGAGGAATTCTCCATTTTATAGGTTAAAGGTTAAGTCAGGGTGCCGCTGTAAGCCGTCTTCAAAAATGTTACAGTGAAATCAATACTTTAAACTGATTTCTTTTCCGTTATTTGTATATTTAGGTCTTTTCATGCCTTTCTAGTCTAAAATGGTGAGTTATGTTTACCCTTGACCAGCTGAACAAGCAGGAAGCATGCTGACTTTGATTTTTCTCATTATTCTTTATTCATTTTAATTTTTAGCATCATATAATTTCGCTGGCTGCTCTAGGCCGTTTCAACAAATTGCTCAGGATTACTAAAAAAAGTTGGCAAAAGTTGCTTCATTTTTCCATAAGTAGCATTTGTGTTTGAAAAGCGCGTTTTCTTCTTCTTTCAGTTGATGTTCTGAAGCAAAATGTGAAAATTATAAAACAAAGGAAGATTCTAAATGAAGATAGGATCGTCGAAGTGGTAATTGCAATATTAACCCGAAAAAAAATTTCGTGACTTCATCAGGATTCTAACCTATGGCCTCAGGTTGCGTTAGCACACCCATACGTTGGGCCAGGCCAAATTTTTGAGTTCATCTTTACCAGTGAAAGGAATAAAACATAGATTAAGAATGATGATGCGGAATACAAATTTAAATGAAGATATGATCGCCGCAGGCCATTGGTTCGAATCCCGTTCAGAAGGTCCATTGGCAATTGAAGGTTAATTTGCAATTGCTTAAATATTTGCAATTACCATTGCGACGATCAAATCTTCATTTACATTTTAATTTCCGCAGTCCCAGCATCTTTCAAAGGAAGATTTGTATGTATTTCGGTGCAATTTTACGTTAGTCGCCCGCTTCGACTTTGCTCTCAATAACACGAACAAATGTGCCTACGTGTTTAGAATATGCAGTAAGATTTCCAGCCATCTCGCGAAACTTTTTCAGGCTGATTTTTGTTTAAAATTGAAAACCTTTTATTACATCAGTTTTATTAAAATGGTGATGCCTTCCCTTACAAGCTAGCGTTGCTCCAGTCTCTGTTGTTGCTACACTTCTAAATGTCCGGTTTGGTGACTCGCACAGGAAAGACACCTACCGGGATATACTTAGGCGCAGTCGCAGTCAGTCCCTTTATACATCTAATATAGTCTCATTTAGCCAGTCAGGGCTAAAGGCGAAGCTCTCTATAATATTTGTAGTTTGCTCAAACGAACTATAAAATCATGTAATGCTAAGCGGTCGCGAAGGCAACGAGAACAGTGAAAAAACAACAATAGGTCTAATCAGTACAAGAAAAACTTTGCTCATGCAGGGTACTTTTTTTGTACATTTCTTTGCCGTTGTTTTGCACGACTACAACGTGAAACTTCCAGAAACTTCCTAGTTACACGTTTTACGGAGGAAATGTCGTAAGTTTTCTTGTTCACTTTTTTTTTCCACTGCCGCTGATTTTCACCTTGGTGGCCGCTAGTATTTCTCATTTTCTCACCGCTACAAATTGTTCATGTTTTTCTTCCAACAAAAGTATCTCGTTTGTTTTTATCTCTCGCTCTAGCTCTCTGTCGCTCTTTTTCTCGTTGATCTTCGTTGGTCTGACGCCTATTTTCTCTTTTCCTCTTTCCTTCTCTTTCTCTATTTTCTAAATTTTTGGACGTGACAATTAATCTAAGCTTTATGCGATGGCAACGGAGCAACTGTTAGGGTTACACTCTATGATTATAAGAAAGCTTTTGATCTCATAGACCATAGGATTCTTGTTAATAAGTTATGCAAATTAGATCTGCCGACTGAAATAATCAATTGGATCATAGATTTCCTAAGTGATCGTTCCCAGAATCAAACTCTCAGAGGGATGTTACTCCGAGTGGGGATCAGTCCCATCCGGGGTACCCCAGGGCACGAAACTAGGCCCGTGGTTGTTTTTGGTGCTCATCAACGATCTAGAAATCAATAATGCAGGCATTATCTGGAAGAATGTTGATGATACAACTACACCCGAGATCGTTGTGAAAGGAGCCAGTTGCAATTCCCAATTTTGATTGCAGATACTGTCGTGCAGTGGTCTTTTGAGAATAGAGTAAAACTAAACAGTGAAAAATGTAAAGAGCTTAGGATTTCATTTGCAAAGAACAAACCACAACTCGCGCCTATAGTAGTAAATAATCAAGAGCTAGAATGTGTTGAAAGCGCCAAATTACAAGGTGTTACGATCTCCAACAACCTAACATGGAATATGCACATTGATCAAATCATAAAGAAAGCTTCTAAACGTATGTATTTCCTAATACAATTGAAAAGGGCCAATGTCGCAAGGCATGAATTAATTCTTTTTTATACATCTTGTATAAGGTCAGTCATGACCTACGCATCGCCTGCGTTTTTCTACGCCCTGCCGTTGTATTTAAAGAAAGATCTAGAGAATGTAGAGAAACGGGCACTATCAATCACTTGCCCGGGACTGGCCTATAGAAAGGCCTTAGAGCTTTCAAATATTATGTCTAAATGACTACATCGCTAGCTTATGTAAAAAGACCTTCCTCTCGATTGCTAATGACCCGGTCCATCGCTTACATAACATGCTTCAATCGTCAGGGCCGTCGTGTTATAATCTTCGGTGCAAAAGGCGTTTAGCCATTCCCAAGGGCGCGATCCATTCAACCAAAATTCCAACCGGTCCGACCGGGAAAATTGGTCCACCTCAAAAGGTGGACCCGTTTTTTCGAAACTTTTCCGGTTGGACCGAACCGATCCATTGAGTTTTGGACCGAAATTTCCGGAAATTTTGGTTGAATGGATCGCGCCCCAAATGTAAGACCGAGCGTTTCAAAAATAGTTTTAGTAAGATCATGTATTGATAACGAATTTTAGCGCTCCGTGAGTTTTGTAAATCAGATCGATGACTTTGTACATATCTTAACAGTTTTAAGCTTTTTTATATTTTTAGGATGTTATTATTTATTTAGGACTTTATCATTATCATTTTATTATACTCACTATTGTAAGATTCTGTTATGTTATATTATTTATTATATTGTAAAATACACAATTCAGCTTAGTAGCTGCAAGCTTTTTACAAATAAACTATCTAACTAAACTATCTATCTAGGCTTAACACTTTAGACAACGCGGATTCAGAAACAACTTCCGCTTTCCGTTTTCGTCTTTATTGACTCTTTAGTTGTCTCTGCTTTACAAGACGTGGGTGGCTATGCGATTTCGGCCAAAATAACCTTGAGTTGCATTTGGGTTGCCATACCTGTTTATTGAGTTATTTTACATTAATATGCCTGTGGTGCGGACGGACGGGCGGACGTACGGTCACGTGATTACCAAACTTAGTAAGGAAATTTTCAACAAAAAGAGAAAAATAAGGAACAAAAGTGTCGTGTTCTGATTTGAGTTTTGTTCCAAACGTTTCGGGCCTGGCCCTTCATCAATGGAGTTACAAAGTACGTCTGAAACGTGACAATGTTTGCATACACCATGAAAGAAAAAAACTTAGTGCGCGCGCTGTACACGCGGCCTAGAGAAAACGGAAGTCAGAGTTTAAGCCGCGCGGATGACTGGTGACAAGCTGAAAAATAAGGCGAATCTCCACGCGCTTCCGTCGCACGTTTTTCCCACAGAGCATAATTCCGCGAACTAGGGCCACGTGGATCGAGTGACCAGCTTTGTTAAAATGTTCCGCGACAGGGACCATCAGTCCGGTCAGTCCGTCGGACGTTTTGGTTAGCACCTTCAAAGCACAGAGAAGAACTTGCCTGGTTTTCCTGTCGCGGAACATTTTAACAAAGCTGGTCACTCGATCCACCGTATGCTCTAGTTCGTGAATTATGTTCTGTCGGGAAAACGTGCGACGGAAGCGATTGCAGATGCGGCTTATTTTTCAGTTTGGCACCAGTCATCTGCGCGGCTTAAAATCTGAGTTCCGTTTCCTCTAGGCCGCATGTAGAGGGCGCGCACTACAAACTTTGACGCATGACCAACAAATCCGGACAAATTGTTCTCTAACACGTGATGACTTTTTTTCCTTTTTTGTTCTACAACTACACTGCAAAAAAGTTGTGTAACCACATTGAGACAACAACTCAAACGCGGTGAATTCTAACGCTGAAAACGGCTGTTGTTTTACTGACAAGTAGATAAGGTTGGCGTAAAACTTGTGAGCCTATTATAGATTTGTCCTGAAAAACCAAAATCCATCGCTGAACAAGCGAGAGAAGTAATCCTGACCGCGGAGCTAACGATTATGCAACTTAAACTAACGACTTGGTCACCTGACCCAAAAGGGCGCGAAAATTTACCCTACCGCGCGGGCCTGGGCTGGCTAGCAGCTACAAGTTGTATTTTTTTTCTTTCTCAAAATCGGTTTAGTGGTTTAGGGACTGTTCGCGCTTACTTGAATAGGCAAAAGTACGGA